TCTTCTCGACCCAAGGCTCCCACAAATGGGAATGGTTGCACTCACTGCGGGAATCCAAAACACACTCGAGAAACCTGTTTTAAACTACATGGCTATCCAGAATGGTGGGAGGGTCTCAAGGCTCGTAAACTTGCTACTGGAGGAACGGGTCGTGCTGCCCTTGTCACCATGGACTCTCCGATAACATTAATTCCTCATGAAGAATCTACCTCAGCACCAGAAAAGAACTCTCCATCTCTTAGTGACTCAGGTAACTGTGGATATGTATTTCATACATCATATACAAGTGACCCTACATGTTGGATTATTGATTCAGGAGCCACAGATCATATGACGTTCGATCCAACTGATTTTCTAAGTACAACTACACCACAACGAACAAGTACTGCCAACGCAAATGGTGTTACCTCTCCCGTGGTCGGTGCTGGAACCATTGGCCTCTCTCCATCCCTTACTCTTCAAAATACTTTGCTTGTCCCATCGTTGTCTAATAAATTGATGTCTGTTGGCCAAGCTACTGAGCAACTAAATTGTTGTGTACTCATGTATCCCGATTTCTGTCTATTTCAGGATATTCTCACGAAGGAGATCATTGGTCGTGGTACTAAGAGAGGGGGGTTGTACTATGTGGATGATTTCAGTATGGGAAAGGCACATAGTGTGAAGCACTCATCGACTTGGAAGGATCGACAACTTTGGCTATGGCACCGACGTTTGGGGCATCCGTCTTTTGGCTATATGAGACATCTATTTCCAGATTTGTTTTCAAATTCCTGTACCACTGATTTCCAATGTGATACTTGTATCTTGGCCAAGAGCCACAGAGCCTCTTATCCATTAAGTACAAATAAAAGTGGTGCTCCATTTGCTTTGATACATTCTGATGTTTAGGGTCCTTCACCTATCACTACAACTTCTGGCTTCCGGTGGTTTATCACCTTTGTAGATGATTGTACCCGCATGACTTGGCTCTTCATGATGAAAAATAAAACTGATGGGTTCCCTATATTTCAGTCATTTCATAAGCAAATTGACACTCAATTCTCTACCAAGATTCAAGTCCTCCGTTCTGACAATGGAGGTGAATATATCAACCATGATTTTCAGACCTACTTCCAAATGCATGGCATCATCCATGAGACCACTTGTCCTCAAACTCCTCAACAGAATGGTGTTGCGGAAAGAAAAAATCGACACCTCCTTGAAACAGCACGAGCTCTTTTGATTGGAGCTCATGTTCCTCGCCATCATTGGGATGATGCTATAGTCACTGCAGTCTACCTCATCAACCGAATGCCTTCCAAAGTTTTAGACTTCCGGACTCCATTACAAGCACTTGCCCAACATGGGCCCTTGCCCTC